ATAAAATTCTATCAAATCAAATAAAATCCGAAACATGGACAAGATTTACAATAAATTATTTTTTTACTCAAAAAAATCCTGTCAAAGGAAGTTAGTGTTCTTTGGTACCAAAAATCTAGATAATCGAAAGATATATAACCTTACAGACAAGAAAAATTCCTAACTGCCGATATTACAGGAATCTCTCAATGAAGTAATAGAGTAGTTGATATCAAAGAACACTACTGGACTTTTTAAGATGAATTGAATCTTTTAAAAGAATTGATTTATAGAAAAAAAGTAAACTTTAATAACTTTTTAATGAATCTTAAACCTTTTTTGGAAAGAATGATATTTTCTATTTTATGGGAGATTCATTTTTGACGGCCCAATATCTGCACTGGTCCCACTATGCAACGTAACAGAAATAGTAGGAAATGAAATCGTATACCTTAAAGCAGATATATATATACTCGTTACGATTTGCATAACGATTTTAACGATAAGTTTGTCAGTGCAAACTTTACATGCTGCGGCGGCGTGTTCAGAATTCCAATTTTCTAGGGAGGAAACGGAAACTGCTACAGTAATTTGCATAGAATTGGAGATTAACCTGCCTCTAACAACTGGGATGTGTAACCGTATATTTTCGAATACAATATGGAACACAGAAAGGTGTCCCATTTGCATTCCACAAAGTATTTTTGGAACACGACAAAAGTACTCGTAATATGAATGTAAAATGCGGACGAATTTAATGTATTAATTTAAACAAGAGGGCAAACAAGAAAGAGTACATGTATCATTTTAATGACGTGAATACGTTTACCATTGCTTCCATCGATCAAAAAATAAAAAACAAATAAATAAAATAAAAAATGTATTTGCTCTTGTCGTTTATCCTACTTCTTAAGGTAAATTGATTATTTTGTTCTATTTCAAATAGTATAATCGATCTTCAAACACATAGAGTGCCGTTGGCAATATTTTTCCTTTGCCGGATTAAAAACAGTCACTAAAAATCTTCTATTAGGGGTAAAAAAAAACAGGTTAAAGTATGATTAGTGCAAGTTTTTTGACAGCTCATTAGAATATTTCAGAGACTACTCCGATTTTAATTTTGATTTTGGTTTAGGTTTTGGGGTTTTCGGGGGTGCACTCTTTAAATAAAATATTGCCATTGTTGTACCACTTCTGGTTACATTGGAAGTAGCTGCCAACTTTGTTATTTTAACTGGAACAGCATACACTGTACACTGTAAAAAAATTCACTCAAATTTCACTCAATTTTACTCAATAATGTATCAATTTCTGTCCACACCCGATTGAGCGAAATTTTCTCCCTATTAGTATGAGTAAAACTGATTGAAACTATTGCATTAGAAACGAGTGAGTTTTACTCAAATCCGAGTTACTGCTGAGTGACTTGTGACTCTATTCTGAGGATATAAAACCAATTTAGAGTTGACTTTTTCTCTAATATGATTTAAATTGAAATTGAGTCATTTTCTACTCAGACTTGGTTTTTAATTAACTTAATATTGAGTGCAAAAATAAATCGCTCATAAATGATTAATTAGGATATACAGTGTTGAAATGAATTAGACAGCGTGTTCTGCAAATGATGAACTTTCAAATTAGGAGATATATTGTAAAAATAATGTCTCAAATGAATCTACATTTTTTTTTTTTTTTGAATTGAAGAGACGAAAATCGGTATTTTGTAATAACTTTCTTGTAATTTATTAAATTTGTATAATTTTAAAAAAGTAAAAGCCATGTTATTTGAAATTAGGTCTACTAATGTGTACAATTTACTTTATAAGTGCTTCCTTAACGTTTGAAGTGGTTTTGCACCTCTTTAAATTTTCTTAAAATTTTAATTTAAATATTATTGTCATAAGCTACTAAACAGTCATGGTGGGTTCAACACAGATTTGTTTTAGAGACAATAATTTAGGTCTCGATTGGTTCGCTGATCGGATAAATAAATTGCCATGAATTGAATTGAACAGTTCGGCGACCCGATTTCCGCATTCATTGTTTTTGAAAAAAAGCTCAATAATTTCTACTCTTTCTGGAATTGAGTACACCATAATTAATCAATTTAAAATACTCGGCAGTATTGGTACTCTTCCACTACAAGTCACAAGACAGTTATCTAGCAACTTCCTGTGGCCTATCTAAATACGAAACAAAAAGCGGACAGTTTTTTGCTCACCAAAATCAGGCAAAAGAATTCGCAAATCAGAAAAAAAAACAGCGAATTCTTTTGAAGGAATTTACCAAGCTAATACCGTAAGTTTTGAAGTAAAATTAAATCGATTTTCGCATTTCTCGTCAAAAATATTGTATTTATCTTATTCAGACGTGTCATACGTATTCGAGAAAATGGAGCCACCAAATCACCTGCATGTCTGATGCCATAATTATGTATGTCAGAATGAGTTATGTAATTTCCTTTATTTTCATATATTTGTAGGAGTGTTTGAAGTATGAAAAGACACGGAAGTGGAAGTATGTTATATTTTTTAAAGAGACACCTACAGGGTGTATTTGGCTGCGCTCCATCTATTATCCTAATGACAGTCTTCTGGAACGTAAACACTTTCTTTTCTTTTGTGGATAATTGACATTTAAAAGAAAATTAACAGATTCAAGCGTTTCAAAAATTTCTTATATATTTCTTCGTTCTAGAAGCTTTCACTTGCTCTTCGGAACACTCAAAGAACATAAGCTGCACTACCTTCCTCTATCAAAATTACCTGAAGAGAATTATTTTTTATATTAAATTATGCTGTTTCCACGATGATGATGAATATAATACGTATATTATAAATACATATTCCGATACCTGTTTTAGATTCAAAATAATATTTTTCTCCGTGCGTTATATTTACGATTTTTTTATAACAATTTATACTGAGTTATTATTATATCAAAGCAAATAATAACAATAAGAATAGAAGGGAAAAAAACCTATTTTGCGACGTACCTACTAGTAAGAAGCGGTTTGTATTGGTTTTCCCTCGCAATCAAATATTTATGGCGAGTATACAAAAATTAATAGTGTACATTGTTACAATGATTACCTTCGTTTATGATTTATGTCGATAATACCTTGAAATAATCTGTTTAAGTATGCCGATAATAGTCGACAAATTTACCCAAGATTGAACGATGAAATACAAATAAATTTTTGTATAGTATTTATTATACAAGTAATCTGTATGTATCTATTGTACCTACTGGATGATGTTAAGAAGACTTGTAATATCGAAAACTGTAAGAAGTACATGGTTGATTAAATTGAAAAAAAGTGCACAGTAATAAATATTCTTGAGTGTTGTCTTTTAGTAACCATAGTAATAATTATAAATTTTTTAGTATTACATAAATTAACAGTTTGCATGGACTAATGCTACAGGATTTTCTTCATACTTTACTAAATTTTAGTTAACGCTAAATAACTTTTTTAACCTATGGATATCAATTTTCATAATAACCTTTTTTTATAGAGGTGTATAAGTTTATAGTACATTTAAATATTTTTGACCAAGTTACACAGTTACAACCTTACTAAAAAAAAAATTATTAAAGTCTATTGATCTATGACAGTCACAAGAAAACTAAATGTATTATTCACATGCATTTGTCATTCACTGCACAATTTTCAAATTTAACCAACTTCTGAAAATATTACAATATTACATGGTAATCATCCTTAATCTGATCACAGATGCATACATGTGCCAATTTTCTTATAAATGCAAATAATCTATCTCTGTGGAGGTTGTTATTAATAGATATTAAAACAGAAGAATAATTTTTCGCAATACAAAATCTAGGTAGAAAAAATTTCGAGAAATCTCTTAGGAGGTAATAAATTTAATAAAAATTAGAAAAAAAGTTATTATACTTTCTTAAAACTCTTACTTTCAGAGATACAATATGTTAATTATAACTAATGATGAGATATTTACTTTTATAACATCGAAAAGCTTCAAGAGCAACATTTAATATATTTATTGGCAACATGAAAATTAAATAATCTCTTGGGCAATCTTAGACGAAAATAAAAATGGGGGCTTGCGATTGTTTGTCAGTGTGAATTTTACGAGACAAGTTTTATTTAATAATAAAATACCTAATAAATATTTGAACAATATAATCAATATACATATTTTAATGCACAATTTTTTTTTCATATACATTTTAACAGTATTTTGACCCCAATATCAGAAAATAGCTCAAAACCAGTGGAAATCTCGATATTTTGTTAATATAGTTAAGATTTTGAAATTAAGGTACACATACACGTATTAATAGGGTCAAAATAAAAACTTTTTATCCCTGCACTTCCTTTTTCTCTAAAATGCCTCCTTGTGGAGTTGCAGTCATTTTGAACCTATTTTCAACATTATTAAAATGCCTATAACTTCTCAAGGATGCATTTTAAAGAAAAAAAATATTGCAAACAGAAATCCGGGTATGAAGATATTTTAAAATTAAAGTGCACAGGCGTTTTTTGTTTGCCTGTGGTAATGAATACGTTATATTTAAATTTTCAATCTGCATATCTACAATATCTGTAGGAATATTTCTAGTAAAAGTAATATTACAACCTATAGCCACTATTAGTGTCATGTTTGACGCAATTTATAAATGTCATTTGAGTCATAAATAAGACAAATCATGTAAGTATTTACCTAGAGACTATCGTTAACTGCAGTCGCTTACAATGAATATTCAGCCGTTTTACATACCATCATTCGCTTACACAATAGTTTTATTGACAAGCTCTTTGATTACCACAAAATTTTTATTTCAGATATTTGTAGTACTTACTTCTCTATTCAGATGCGTGCTTGTGCAGGATTAAATTCATATTCTATATTTTGGCGGCGGCGCTAGTTATAAAAATACAAGTTTTCGAAATTTTGTAGTTTTTCAGAAGTGAGTGAGAAATCCAGTTTACTCAACAATTTTTTTAAAGCTAAATGGAAAGTAAAATGACTTACATGGAACTGCTTTTCTTAGGCAGGCTTAGTTCTATGGATCTGGAACAAAAAAGAAAATTTGTTCAGAAATCCAGTAAAATAATAAGAATTAGTACATTTACAGAACATAATAAGAATTGATTTTCTACAAAGTACCACATAATATTATTAACCTTATTAAAGAACAGTACAATAAAGTAATCACCAAGAATACCCGCCTAAACTTTTAATGGGAACTAATGTTGGTAATAAATTTCGTGTATAAAATTTTAAATGTTGATTGTTATTGTGGAAATGCATGGTTACAGGAGGAATTGAAGACATTAGTAAAGTGCAATGCAGTTTAAAACAAAGAATCTCTATCGTTTCCTAACTACCCATTGACAGAAATTCAGTAGTCGAGGAAAATCATCTGCCATTCGCTCGCATTCCCTGAAATGTGGTACAGTTGAAACTTTTCGATTTATTAATGAATCTTTAAAAATTTGTCAAAATCAACACAATATAATTTTTTTCACAGTAAATATGCTGTTACGTACCCATAGGTTATGGAGCAATAGCAACTACTGTAGCATACAAAATTTCCATTAATTATATTTTTCGGTTCTTGTTATATACGCAAAAATCTGTTTTTTCCTAAAACTTAAACCCCGTTATTTCGTAAACTAGATCTTTTAGGACACATAAGCGTAGTAATTTTTTTTAAGTATAAATAAGGAATCACCCCTTTATTATCGAGACGTACATATGGAGGGCCATGTATGATACAAAGCATAATGTGCTCGATTTTATTAAAATATTATTTTTTAACAATTACATATTTAAAACCCCTATGTTGAAGTGGACACAATTTTCTGCTAAATAATCTATACAGGGAGTTTTGTAAGCTGAAGTTCAGTCGAGTTAAAAGGAAAATCCTAACACAATAAACGCCCTGTGAAGTATTAATTATAATGAACGAAGAATGCCACAAAAACTTGTTACATATGCCGACAACACAAAAGTTTATGTTTATTATTTGTTGTTAGTTGTGTATATGGCAGCCATAAGAAGTTTTGTAATATCAAAGTTGAAAGAACATTGAACTTTATAAAAAACCTCATTAAAGAAGTCACATTTAGCTTCTCTGAGAAGGTAGTAAATTTTCCTGAAGCTATTAAAGTCGCTAAAAGTTTACATTTATTTCTACGGGTCTCAAACATAGAATATAAATGGAGGGTGTAAGAATAAAATAAGAACACGAATAATTTGTTTAGGTAGGATACTTATTTATTTATTTGTTCCAAGAGGATGAAAAAAATTACAGAATAGGCCAGTATTATTAAATACAAATAACAAAAATGTAAAAATAGGAAAGTTAAAAAATCTAAATACTCACCACACAAATAAGTTATAAAAATAAAGTAATGTAATAAAATTACTATTTAATATTAGGAACACTAGTATACAAAATATCAACGTTATCTGATGTAAACAAATATGATGTATTGATCTTCCAATTTCAATTCTTATTTTCTCATAAAGGCTAGGAATTTTGTAGTTTTTTTTCTTGTAATTGTTTTGTACCATTAACAGTTTTCACGTACTTAATCGATTATTTTATTACCAACGGATATTTAATAAAAATATTGATTTAATTGCCACCAAAAATTAGACATAGTTGATAATAAAAACGAAGTAAAGCTTTATAGAGTATAGAAACTTTAAATCAAATATTTTTTGGAAGAATTAGTGGAAATGATAACCATTTTTTAAATTTTGACTATGAAATTGGAATCTCAATGTGAACTTGTGAACTACTTAAAAATCATGAAATTAAATAAATTCGATGAAAAATTTCCATAAATAGTATTTAGAATGAGGAAAATTTAAGGTGATTGCTATTTAATTTATTCTTTTCTTTTACTGAACTGTGTTATTGAAAATTATGACTAGGTGTTTTCAGTCATTTTCTTGATGAAGTTTCAAATATCTCACCTCGTTTTATTTCTATTATCAAATAAGAAAAGAAAAATGTATAAAATCATGTTAAAATACACAAGTACTAGGACACCGAATTTTTAATTTTTTAATGTCGTACGAGTGTATTCTGGTAACGATAAATTTGAGTATCTTCTTGTGAGAATCTTCTCTTCTTATTGTAGTGAGAGACACATGCATTTTAAAATATGAGGTTCAACTATTAACCACGTATCTACTCAGTATATCAAAAATAGAAATAAGAATAACTAACTTTACATATTCACTTCTTTATATTATTTCCAAAATATTTAGTTTTTTTTTTATTGTTTTATACAAATAACATTTAATTTAGTATTAGTACCTTGGATTACGCGATTTGGCTGAGTTTGCACATTAGAACGATTTTTTTGGTACCGATTCCCATAAATATAAGTAATTCCAGATTACCTTTCTGAAGCGTTCAAGTCTAGTGTATTTTAGATTTACATTTTACACCGTGATTAGCCGCTGCTACTGTTCATTGTTTTTACTGTTACGATAACATAGCAAGATAATAATACGTGATAGAATCGCCACCATAAAAATAGGTAATGAAAGCTCCAATTCTCTCGGTAAACAAGTCATAATTCTCGCATTTTAATATTACTTTCCGTTAAAATGTAAATAACATAAAAATAAATAGGTATACTATTTTTGAGTTTATGGTGTAGGTATTTTATTTTTATAGGGAGAATTCTGAAGTTAACGTCATTCATAATGATTATTTATAGAAGTTAACAAAACTAATTTGTACTGTACTCAAAATTACTTTCTATTGTCAAAAATATGGTTTGAATAGATTGTCCCACCCAGTAGCCGTGTTTTATTTACCTGAGAATTAATTTAATCTGTAATGGTTTAATTTGCAGCAATTCATTAAATTCAAATTTTCCAGAAGGGGCAACCAAATTTATTTATTTATTTGGTGAAATAACTTTAAACTGTAGATTTAATCAATTCATCAACTAATTAACTGAATTAATAAAAGGTTTACTTTATTTTTCATTATTTTTGCCAATATATTTGATTTGTTTATAAAAACATTAAATTCTTCCATATTCGGACTACTTCCTATGTCAGTTCTAATAATATTATATACCTAAGTATAAATTTACATCTCAAATTTAAATTACATATTTCTTAATATTATAGGGATTTACACAACGTAATAAAATTTATTATTAGGCATCGGAAACTAACTTTGTGGCGATAATCAACTAAATAAACAGTAGTAATCTATATTATGCTAATAACCGGCAATACGCGTTGTAGTAGCAGACATAGGCTAAATTTGTGGTCGTGTGCCGCTCTATGCTCACAGTTCACCAATGCTAATGAGTATCACAAAAAAACACGCGCCATACACTCGACGTTAGGTCGACAAGGCAGGCATTAGAGTGCCGATAGATACGTACCGAATAAATTGATCGATGCGAAGATTCAGATCAGGGGCAGACTTGTACATGTACAATGACGCGGATAGTGGGATTACTAAAATGTGAAGTAGTTAATGCTTCGCCATTAGTAAAATTTGCATCTATTAAAAACTTTGACTATTTTAGATATGCGCCTGTGACATCGGTAAATATTGAATGGTCATTTTGGTTTTAGAAATGGGTATTTACTTATCGATCGCTAGACACGATTAACCGAAGAACATTTAGGACAACTGGTAACTATTTTCTACAATATTATGAATAAGAAATTATTATTTTGTTAACTTTTGATACTTATTATTACGTACTATACCTAAAGTCCGTAGTATATTTTTTGAGATATAATTCCAAGAAGACCCATACATCACTTTCTTGGAATTAACCACGTTTTACACCCGAGGTAGGAAGACATTGGCGGTGTGGCGTGCGCGGTGCATACTGTCTTTTGCATTTACGAAGACGTGTTTCTTCCTAACTGGAGGAATATTCTATGCATTTTCAGTATAATTCCATAATAAAATAAATCAATGGAGGTGGAAAATAAAAGAAAGGAATTTGATTCCCAGTCGAATAGTATCGTGTTTATATTTTAATAATATGAAAATAAAGTAATTTTCCAGGCACGCCCCTGCTGCGGTTTTTTTGCAATTCTAGGCCAACAAAAAATATTGTACATACTTTATATATTTTATTGTAAGTTCCATGTGAAGCACACTACATTATTTTTGGTTTCATACTATTATGCAGATACTGAGATATACATAATTCTTATAATGTAAAGAGTGCAGTTATAAGAAGGCAACGGTTGTGTCACTTTTTGTTTGAATAAAATTACGATAAAAGAGAACCCGACCTACAGTCAACCCTGTATCACATTCCAGTCGCCTTAGCATTTCCGATCTCTATTTATTACACATTTTACTAATATGTAATGGTCGAATAGATTGCCAATTCTTCAAATAAGGTATTTTATTTCCTATTTCCATTGTTCATGTATTGCTATGGGCTTTTCTTAAAATTTTCTAGTACTAATTTTCTTAGGTGCCATAAATTGGTAAATCAAGGAGAAATCTTCTTGTTTCAATGTTCTCCTGATAAAGAGCATATGTGAAAGAATTTAAGTGATTATCTTAATCATCCTTACTTACTTACTACAGGGAATAACCTTTTTACTGCTGTAACTCTCATGTTATATTGTGAACAAATTAGGGTAAAGATGCTTATTATGAGACAGTTCCGAATATGAGACAACGGGCTTTCTCGCAAATTAGGCCATTTTTTGAAAAGAGCGCCACTGTTCTATATTACCGGCAGTTCACTTTCTATTGTATGTAAGCAGTTGGCTGTGCTGCAAGTTTTTGTGTGCCGGTCGCCAAAGTACTTGCAGTGCTTGTCATAAAGGTATGTAGAAAACAGAAAATTATTAACAAGACAGTGTTTATCATTAACATAAATCTAACATGACGTAGTATCTATTTATCATGCCGTTGAGTCAATTTTTTTTTCATGCTTTTACCAACTAACCTAAAACTGAATAAAATTTCTTAAGACCCCAGTATGAGACACCCGAGAGCTCCTAATATGAGGTACCTCATATTACGGGACAAGGCGTCGCATATGAAG